TTAGGTTCTGAGACCAGCTCCAGCTCTAACCGACCTGTTAGGTTCTGAGACCAGCCCTAGGTTAGAGGTCCCTGAGGTGCATCCAGGCTGTTCCTTGACTGTAGTTGGAGCAGAACCGGGCCTGGGTTTCAGTCAGAGCAGCTGTTTGATGTTAGCCATGAAGCTGGTGAAGAAGCAGCAGCAGCATCTAATGAGGGGTTCGTTAGCGGGTCAGAACCTTGTTAGCAGCTCAGGGTTGATGTTAGAGCAGCTGTTTGATGTGAGCTGTGGCACTAAGCTCAGAACAAGTCCAGACTCGACCCAGGTGTCTTCTTGGTCCTCCAGCAGGACTCCAGAGCTCGTGTGCTGAGGTTGTAGTTTTTCTCTTTATTAGCCTCCGTCTGGGTCTACAGGTGTATCTACACGGGGGGGTATCCAGAACCATGCTGCCTTCTGTCCTGCTCCAACCAGAGCAGCAGCGTCTGTGTTCTGAACGTGGTTCTGCTGTTTCAGGGCCTGCTATGGAGTCCTGAGGTTCATCATGGAGAGCGGAGCTAAAGGCTGTGAGGTGGTGGTTTCCGGTAAGCTGAGAGGTCAGAGGGCCAAATCCATGAAGTTTGTGGACGGTCTGATGATCCACAGCGGAGATCCTGTGAACTACTACGTGGACACGGCGGTCCGCCACGTGCTGCTGAGGCAGGGTGAGTCCACAGGGTTGTTCTGGTCAGCAGTCACGTTGTAGCTGCTGAAGCATGAATGAAATGTTCCCCTCCTTTCTGTCTGCAGTCAGACAGCCGTGATTGGCTGCACGTCAAAGTAACAGCCAATCACTGAGCACTATTGTTGACACAGAGACAGACGAGCACATCGTCAGACTGTAGCAGCTCCAGCTGAAGAACACTTGAACTGATTCTGCTCATGGTGCTAAGCTAATGCTAACACTGAGAGGTTAGCTGTACCTCTTAGCTTGTTGCTAACGCTGTCTGTAGCATATAACTGACACACTAAGCACAAACATCGACACAGATCAGGACATGAGCAGCTTTCACAGTGGCTAACGCTATGCTAACAGCTAAGTTAGCAGCCAACACAATAACTAATAAAGCGTAGAGATGTGGACCTTAGAATGAAGTGAAACCAGAAGAACAGACAGATCTGCTGCAGACGGACTGGTATTGGTCTCCATCCACCAGTAAACGCTGTAGCGTCATGTGACCATCAGGCATCGTCTATAATAATCCTGATTAATGAAGTGACGTGGTCGCTGCGTCACACAGTCGGTGGAGAACGGTGTTGTTGTTCCAGCTTTCCTGATGACCAGGCGTCCATGTCGGCCTGAAGCTTGTCAGCTGATAGCTGTGTTTGTACTCAGGTGTGCTGGGCATCAAGGTGAAGATCATGCTGCCGTGGGATCCTAGCGGTAAGATCGGCCCTAAGAAGCCTCTCCCTGACCATGTCAGCATCGTGGAGCCCAAAGAGGAGACTCTTCCCACCACGCCCATGTCTGAGCAGAAGGGCGCCAAGCCAGAGGTGCCCGCCATGCCCCAGGGAGCACCTGTGCCCACGGCCTAGCAGGTAGGTTCAGGGGACTGGGTAGCACTGGGATCAGATGATGTACTGGTTAAAGCCTGCAGCTCCATCCACATGTGGAGCTTCCTCGCTGCTGGTGTGTTGTTTAGAGGCTGATCCTGAGTCAGTGAAGGGCCTCCGTTAGTCCTGCTACTGAGCAGACGGGTACACAGCGCGCCTTGTGGACCGGGCTTCAGCCTTTAACCCTCTGAACCTGAAGCAGTCACGTTTCACAACCTGGTCTCAGCCTACAGTTCAGAGTTCACCAACAGCACATCGTTTCAACCAATCAGTGCTCCTCGACAGTCGAGAGACCTTCTATGACCAAGAGGCTCATAAATAGAAGACGGGTCTCAGTGTAGAACCCAGATGATGGTGGTGTCTGGGTCTGGGCTTAGGTCAGAGTTTAGGTCTGGGTTTGGGTGAGGGTTTAGGGTTTAGGGTCAGGGTTTGGGTTTGAGTCAGAGTTTGGGTCAGGGTCTGGGTTTGGTTCTGGGTCAGGGTTTGGGTTTGAGTCAGAGTTTGGGTTTGGGTCAGGGTTTGGGTTTGAGTCAGGGTCTGGGTTTGGTTCTGGTTCTGGTTCTGGTTCAGGCTGAGCCTTCTCTGCTGCTGGAGTCCAGAGGATGAAACACCGGTACCATTAAGGCTCGGTTTGATGTGGAAACGTATTGTAATCTAAGTTGTGGTTCAGTTTGTGTTCAGTGAGCAGACTGTAAAGGTTCAGTCCCTTCAGTGATGATACGATGACGAGTCGGAACGGTTCTGTCTGGTTCTGCTGGTCACCGCTTCAGAGTCACGTTCTGTGGTTCTGCTCCGGTTCTTCAGAACATGAAGGACTCTTCAGTTGAAGACATCGAGGCATTTGTCTGAGAAGGGCTGAAGCTGTAAAGCATTTTTAACCACGGCTCTGGAGAACCTGGTTCTACAGAACCCAGCAGAGTGGTTCTGTCGTGGTGCTGATCTTGTTTTCTGTCTGTTCACATTCCTGGACCTGAAGAGACGCTGCTGTGGCTCTGAGCTCTGATCTAGATTGTTCTGTTGGATTGATCCTGTGTGGAGACCGTCAGAGCTCCTGAGCTGCTCTTTAACTCTGGTTCTGTCTTACAGGGTTTCCGGCGCCACCCGATGGAAGCAGAACTCGGATCTTTGTGTACAAAAACAATAAAGTGTGAAAAAGACTGTTGTGCTGCTTCTGTCATTCATGCTCACACTGAAACCACTGGCTGCAAATAAACAGACATGAAACGTGACCAGACGGGAAATATATAAATATATATATATAACCCTGTATATATCATATATATGTATATATATAACCCTTTATAGATAATATATTAATATATACATATAACCCTGTATACATCATATATAAATACTTCACATACTCTATATATTTAGTGTTTTGGTCGTTTTCTACACTTAAAAGCAGCACTCGATGTTTTTCATGTCAGAATGTTTAGTTGTTGATTCTATTGAAATGTACATTTGAGATCATTTAGTTTTATATTTTATATATATTCTGTGTTTTCAGGAGCTTGATTGTTTTTTGGGTGTTTTCTGAGAATATGAGTGTTTTAATGTATGTCTACAAGAGGAGCTGCTGGATGTGCACCGTGCTGAGTCCACGTGGTTGGATGAGTAGAATGATGTCATCCAGTGAGTCACAGGTCACATGATGCCACCTGGCAGGTGAGGGAGAGCTCTCACTCTGCTCCAACATGTCCAGGATCTGGAGGTTTATGGAAGAACTCAACATTGGATGGTGACGTGTGATCTGAGCATGTGTGAAGGTTTTGACATCATTTAGTGTAGAGTCAGCGTTAGGGCTACGCCACTACATTCATCAGTCACATCGACTCCTGAACAACAGCTTTAAACATGAAATACAGTCAGCTGTAGAAAATCACTTCAGCCGCCTGTTTAATCACAACCGTTAGGACGACAGTACGGTGCATGTAAATATAAATGTTCATTTAAATATTAGAAGACGACATTGTTTATGTACCACACAGTTACCTGAGTGACCGTACAATGTCATCATGGTTTATATGACGACATGACGCATCACAGCCCATCTGATACACGTTCATTAGACTCATTTAATTCTCAAGATGCTTTTATATTCACGTTCACTAAGGAGACGACTAAGATAACGACCAGTGTTCTCTGTGGAGCCATCAGCTGTAACCTGGAAACAGCTTCAGGATTTGCAGCAGAGTGACTCATCCTCTCAGGTATAAAGCTGTAGGTCCGGGTTAGGCCACACCCCCTGCCTCCTACCTGTCGAGCAGCTCTCACCTGCAGACTCTCACCTGTTCAAGATGAGCCTTCCGGACCAAACACCTGAGAAGCTGATTTCCTCGGCGGCTCCGGTAGGAAAACAGTTTTTACCGACAGTCTGGACGTTGGTTGGAGGCCACAGAGCCTCAAGTCTCACCTGTGACACACCTGTGAACAGGTGTACGGAGGCTCGGCAGCTGCTCCTTCCTGCTGCACTTCTTCCTGCAGATGCTTTCTGTCCGTTTCAGGAGTTTGTGAGGCTCAAGATTAAAACCTGAGAGCTGCTTCAGTCTCCACACATTTACTGGCTTTCATGTCGGTTTAACGACTGATAGTAACTCATGGGGTTACGTTAGGGTAATGTTAGTGTTAGGTTAAGGTTAGGTTAGGGTTACGTTAGTGTTAGGTTAGGTTTACATTAGGGTTACGCTAGGTTATGTTACGTTAGGTTAGGGTTATGTTAAGGTTACGTTAGGATCAGGTTAGGGTTATGTTACGTTAGGTTAGGGTTATGTTAAGGTTACGTTAGGATCAGGTTAGGGTTATGTTACGTTAGGTTAGGGTTATGTTAGGGTTACATTAGGATCAGGTTAGGGTTATGTTACGTTAAGTTAGGGTTACGTTAGGATCAGATTAGGGTTATGTTACGTTAGGTTAGGGTTA